CTTGTACCATTCACACACATTTTTACCTGATTCCTCTATGGCGATCAACCTCACCTACACGGAGGAACCTGTTCTTGTGACATCTACCAACGCAACCACACAGTGATCAACAGAGAGCTGCCAGCCCCAAAGTCTCCCATCTTCGCTCCTGCAACCAGGAACAAATTTCAAACTTGCAGCCTTCAACGTACGCACATTACTGCAGATCGGTCAGCAAGCTGGACGTGCAGGCACGCTAGAGACCCTTAGAAGTGATATCTGCTTCCCGAAAGAAACACGACTCCAAGACTCTAACTCGGTATACCAGCTGACGTCACCGCTCCACCCACGCCCCCACTTCCATCTATGCTTCTCTAATGACGCCGGTTTTGCCGCATCTGGGCAAGCTGGTGTTGGAATCGCCCTCAGTGTTAGAGCCGAGACTGCTTTGATTGACTGGATTCCGATCAATGATCGTCTTTGTGCGATGAAGCTCCATGGTTCTTGTAAAGTTGGCAGACGTCGAGTCGAAAAGCGTGCTCTCTTCGTGTTCTCTGCCTACGTGCCCACTAACTGTAGCTCGGACAACCGTAAAAGACCAGTTCTACCAGAACCTTCATGAGCTGCTCCTAAGGGCTTCTAGAACAGACATCATTGTTTTGGCAGGTGACTTCAACGCGCGTGTCGGTTGTCTGCCGCCATGTGAGGGCCACCTCGGGGGCCCGCATTGATATGATGATGTTCGCTCAGACAATGGAGAGAGACTGCTCAGTCTGTGTGCTGATCATCAACTATTCCTCTCCAGCACCAGCTTTCGTCATCCAAGACGTCAGTACGCCACTTGGTGCCCCCATGGTCAACCCAGCGCTGGCAACAGATTGACCACATGGCTATAAGTCGCAGGTGGCGCGGCAGCGTACGCGACTGCCGATCAGTTTGGTCAACATGCGTCGATATCCATCATGCACTGGTATGTGCGAGCGTTTGCATGCGTTTCGGTGGTTCGCCTAGGTCCAAACACACCCGACTGAAGACCTACAAATTAGAGGACCCAATGGTGAAGAAAGAGTAGCAACAAAGGCTCCGTGAAAATCTCGCTCTCTCACACATACTGGATGTTGATCAACACTGGTCAAGTCTGCACACAAGCTTTGCTGTCTGCCGGTTTGTCCAGGTGTGGCCTCGCTCGCTTTACTCCCAAAAGCTGGATCACCGGAAGATCCTTAAGATTGCTGGATCGCCGACGGGCGGTGCCTGCTGGCGCAGGGTTCAACGAACACTGCCGGTCTAGTACGCACCACTTGAAAGCAAGCGATCGGTCTGATGGTGAACCTTGGTGGTCAAAACAAGCTGATGAGATGGAAGCCGCTGCAGCAGCTGGCAACTTCCGCCGCCTATGTTACCTCATCAGTGCCACTGGTTGTCATTTCCGCGCTATCAGCCAAGGGATTGGCGAATCAGACGGCACGAAGATCACCAACGTTCACAGGCGATTGGGTCTCTGGGCAGGGAATTTCGCTTTTCAATTCAACCACCCAAGACAGCCCCCTGTGACACTTCCAACATTAATAGCTGATGCTTAGCCTTTCTCCATAGCCCCCCAAATGAAGCAGAGATTCGAAATGCAATCCAATCTTTGAAATGCCCGAGGCTCCGGGTGCCGACAGCCTACCACCGGCTCTATTCAAAGATAGCGGGCTGCACTCGTCAGCGAAATACTATCGCTGTTCACGAAAGTTTGGTGTGAGAAGAAGGTTTCGAACTCTTGGGGGAAAGTGGTCATTGCTCCGATTCACAAGAAGGGCTCCCGCGACGATTGCTGCAACTACCGCGGAATCTGGGTAATCTCTGTCACATCCAAACGCTTCGTGTCGGTCCTATTTCGCAGGCTTTTAACGACTAGAGAGGAGTTTTGTCGAGAAGAACAAGCCGGATTTCGTCCAGCCGGCGGCTGCATCCACCAAATCTTCACGCTTCGCCAACTTCGCGAACTTCGTCACGTCCACCGGCTGCCAAAAATTGTAATGTTGTTGGACATCCGAGCGACATTTGATTCAGTAAGTAGATCTGCGTTGTGGAACTGTTTACTGAAGAAAGGTGTGTCCGACAAGTTTGTAACCGTCTTGGAGGAACTTTACAGTCACACGTCGGGTAAAGTCAGGGCTTACGGCATTTGCTGTGACCAGCGGCGTTCGCCAAGATTGCCCTATTTCACCTTTCCTCTTCAATTTCACCATCGAAGAGGTTGTCCAAAGAGCACTGAAAGGTGTCCAGGACTGCGGGGTGGAGCTCCTCTATGGAGACAGAGTCACGGACTTGGACTACGCCGATGATATCGCCTTGCTCGGCCAAGACCCACAAACCGTCCAGAGCGCTTTAGACCGCTTGGCGATGGACACGTTTAAGTACGGATTATGCTTCACTCCGGGAAAATGTAAAACGCTGCACCAGGACTGGCAAGTGCCTAAACCCGCACTCACCATTGCTGGAAATGGTCTGGAGCAAGTCCCTTACTTTACTTATGTAGTGATTTACATCACGACTGGTGGTGGTGTTGGATATGAAGTCTCACAACGGATTGCATTCCTCAAACTGAGACACCTGTGGCGTCGTCGTGCTGTCAATCTCAGGCTCAAGGGCAGGATGTACATTGCTTCTGTACGTGCAGTACTCTTGTACGGCTGTGCAACGGCGTTTTCCGTGGAAAAACCTGAAGCGACTGTCAATCCTCGACAATCGCTGTCTACGAAGGATTGCTCGGGTGTGTTGGCAACACCACGTAAGCAACACAGAGGTGCGAGACCGAGTGCTTGGAACGAATAGTGCCAGTCTTCAGGACGTTATTCTCCGACATCGCATGCGTTGGCTCCGACACTTTCTGCGCATGAGAGCCAATCGCCTTCCATGTCGAGCGCTATTTGCACTCCAAGGGAGCGATGGGAAATGGTGTCGCGGTAGACAGCCAATGACGTGGAGAATTAGCATGAAGAAGACAACCTCAAGTTTGGCTGCGGTCGGGCCAGTCCGTCTTCCACGTTGGGGACTAGGAGATGCTGAATCGCAGTGGTTGGAAACAATAGACGTCATCACCCGCAACAGACATCAGTGGCCTCAGTGTTGTTCTGCTCTTACAACCCAAAGCTCAAAAAACAAAAGCAAAATATTCGAAATGGCACATGCAAAACCAAAAAATCATTTCCCATATTGTTCAATAGCAGTTCATGTTCCCATCTTCTGCATTTTTATTCTTCTGCCATGGTTCTGATGGCACAAGGTCTGTTGACAGACTGTGAATATATATACATATATATATATATATATATATATATATATAGCGACAGAAGGCTCTGCGGATCGGGCCCAAGTGCTGATTGCCGCTTTTCGTCGCCTTCTCAGCTTGCTTTAAACACCCAAGGTCTTCCTGTACCAATAAACCCAGGTCGCGCTCCTAGGAGGCCTACTCCAAAGTGTGGTCTCCAAGCTTGCAAGCGCTCACCGGCTGGTGACGCAGATCGAGCACCTTGTACTTAGCTATGTTCAATTGAAGCAGGTTCCCATTTGAGAATTCATAAAGGCAATCTAAGTCACGTTGGAGTAGATCGTAATATGCATTGTTACTAATCGTCCTCCATATCTTGACATCATCGGCGAAAAGCAGGAGATTTGTGGAGAAAACTCTTGACAGGTCGTTGATAAACACGAGGAATAAGCGCGGTCCCAGCACTGAGCTTTGTGGGACATCACATTCCACCTCAGTTGGGTTAGAGAGTGATCCCCTAACGCGTACTTGGAGCTTCCGTTGGTGAAGAAAGTTGCCAATCCAACCAACTACAGGATCTCCGATACTGTAGCTCTGTAGCCTGTGAAGTACGATGCGGTGGTCCTGGGGGTCGAGAGCTTTGGAAAACGTCCAGATACATGACGTCGAGTCCGACCCCATCATCAGCCACTTCCGCTCAAATACCTCGTACAATTAGTAGATTTATGTGCATGACCGGTGTTGACGGGAGCCATGCTGCTCCGGTGCCAAGATGTTGCATTTTTCCAGGTAGTCCATTAACGCCTCAGCGACGACCGCCTCTATCAACTTCGAGAGCACAGTGAGTAGTGTCAATGGGAGATAAATTGCAGGATCTGAACGGCTAACCCCCTTAAAAATTGGTGTGATGATGCCACGCTTTCACATAGGGGAGACTAGCTGTTCATCGAATCACCTTTAGAAGAACTGTGACAGTGGATCAGCTAAATTGGGGGCCTCAGCTTTCGGTGCTTTCGGGCGGATGTTGTCTGCTCCCGGAGAACTATGATCGCACAGCGAGAGTAACTTCCTTAGCACAATTGATGGGTTGAAAATTACATATGGAAACAATAGTGTTTATAATGTGCATGGCATTATGGGACAGGTAGAGGCTGCTATTTCGAAAACTGTGACGTATTGTAGTCGAAGGTAATTAGCTGCATCTTTGGCGCTTTGTACTCTACCGCCTGTCGTTCGAAGTGGAGGGATTCCATGCTTCACTTTACGAAGATTGTTGACATGCCTATGTAGCAGTTTGTAGTTTGCCAGGAATTTTTTGGCTAAGCACTGATGATAAGTTACTCTGTCCTCACGGACAAGTGCAGTGTAATGGTTGCAATGTGTCAGGAAATTGCCCCAAGTATCTGAGTCGGGATCAATCATGTAGGCACGAAATATCCTCGACGACAGACTCAAATGCGTCTGTTAAATCTCGTCAGGCCAAGTAATTAAACAAACCAGATTCTCTATGGTTCTGCGTGGAATGCTCATCTAACCCACTGATGATAGTAATATGCCCATATTATTGTGTTGGGGCTGACAGCTGAGGCTAATGGAATCGCCTTCCTCAGTGTGATCGATCCGGCAATCGATCGAGTGGGCAGGTGAGATTTTAAAATCACAGTTACTTGTCTTTTGCCTGAGACATGTGAATACAGCGCTTGTATGCATAACCGGTGTGGTTTCTATTTTTTGACTTCACTGGCAAAACCAGGCACAAATCATGGTTTTTGCCAGGCAGCCGTCAATCCCGCTACCGACTGCTGTACAGATGACGGAAAGCACGCTGCCGGACAACTTGAGAAACTGGAAAACGAAGTGGACGGATTTCGTCATGCTGACTCATTTGGATTCCTTTCCGATGCCTTACCAACTTGCTATGTTCAGACTCCCTATTGGTGACGAAGCCAGAAGTGTACTTGAGACTCTGGAGCGCGGTGATGCGGAGGAGCAGGAGCCGGACATTTCAGAGATAATTAAGAGATGTGGCGTTTGTTGTGAAGGTCAAGCAACTGAAACGTACCAGATATCTGCTTTTTGGTTACAATCGCCTACCGGATGAGTCAGTCGAGACATACCTTAGAGAATTGATAGCTCTGGCGCGAACTTGCAACTTCTGTAACTGCATGTGGGACACTCTGGTAGGCGACCGCATCGTAATCGGCATAGGAAATGACGACCTCACTCGAAGCCTTTTGAGGCAGGAAAACCTGTCCAAAATTCACGACAGTTCCAGCATTTGAGGGCAAGCACAACAGAACGACTGTGCAGTATCGAAGACCAAGGAATCCCTATCTTTACTATCCGAGCGGTAGGTGGCCAGCTGTCATTTTTGGGGTCGGAAACATCCAAGACGGAAGGAGCGCTGTCCAGCTTGGACAACACCTGCATGAACCGTACAAAGAAAAACCATTTCGATCGTTGTTGCAGATCGGCCAACATCAGTGCGGTAGACAAGGAAAGTTAACACACACACAGGAGTTCTAAATATACAACATGGAGCAAATTGGAGGGCAGAAGTGCATTTTTGCTACACGGTTAATTTAAGGACTTCCAGTTGATTTTCAGCTCGATTCGGGGACACCGTTAACCTTCTGCCCGAGAGACATTGAGCGGGAGTAAAAATGTACTGAAGCACCTAATTGTCTCTGGAAGGTGTGGAGCTACTCCCAGGAGAACGACTTCTTGACTTGGAGTATGCAGACGACATTGCCCTCATCTGTGACAGCTCCCAGACGTGCCAAGCCGCGCTGGACAGATTAGCACTGGCTGTCAGCCACTTCGGGCTTTGCTTTGCACCATCGAAGTGCAAAGCGTTCCTCCAAGGTTGGCAGGAATCGCCTCCTTTGCTGACCCTTGGTGGGGATCAGCTAGAAGTCGTACAAATATTCAACTACCTGGGAAGTTGTATCAGCGCCCTTGGAATCGAAGACGAGATCACGAACCGTATAGCGAAAGCTCGGAGTGCTTTTGCTAACCTTCACCACCTATGGCGGCGGCGCGACATTACTCTCGCCCTGAAGGTTAGAGTGTACAATGCAGCGGTATGTTCGACCTTACTGTACGGTTGCGAAACCTGGCTCATTAGATCAACCGACATGAAGAGGCTAGCTACGTTCGACCATCGGTGCCTTCGCAGTTTGGCTCACATCTGGTGGGAACACCACGTGAGTAACGAGCGTGTTCGACGCATTGTTTACGGCCCAGGAAAAGGATCTGAACCGCTCAGCACCGTTATTTCCCGCACCAGGCTCCGATGGCTCGGCCACGTGTTACGCATGCCAGCCCACCGACTCCCGCGACGTGCGTTGTTTGCTCACCGGGGATGTGGGTGGAAGAAGAGGAGAGGTGGCCAAGCGATGACTTGGTCCAGAGGAAGGAAGTCCCTCACTTCGGAGCTAGCCTCGGTTGGAGCTTCACGGCTCCCTTGTTGAAGTCCAAAAGACTGTGAACACGTTTGGCTGTATACACTTGCTGACATGGCAAGGAGCCGACCTCAGTGGCGTTCCTGCTGTGAGTTTCTTTGTCCCTCCCCATCCCTTTTAGTCTCCCCCTCCATCTACGATCTCATTTCCTAGGGTAAAACATAACATTTTTTCTTTTTGCCTAGTAGCTGGCTGGAAGCTTACCGGAACGATGCCTATCCGTTGCTGGTAGCTCAGCTGGCATGCAACTGTTGTATCTATTTTTCCTTTGTGGATTGCATTATATGAATGTATGTATTTCTTTCATGTATTGCGGCACAATAGCGGGGGTGTTTTCCCACCTCTAGCTGATGTGTATAATGATGATGACCTAATTGGCTCAAAATGTGGAACGGCTCGAGATTACAACCGAAAGGGAATGCTATCGGAACACCAGCTTGAGTTCCTGGTTGTGTCAGCAGATCTTCTGCCCATCTTGGGCATTGATTCCATCCAGTGCCTTGGTTTTGTTTCATTTAACCATGATCTTTTTGTTTACTCGTGTCAAGCTGATGCAGATATTGTTCTTTTCTATCTTGCCGTGTTTGATGGGGTTATTGGGAAATTCGTTGGATGCGCTCATTTATCATTAAACCAATCTGCAAGGCCAGTAGCACTCAGCCAATTATATTGTAATTGGTATAGAGTTGAATATATATATATATATATAAATATATATATATATATATAGTAGCGCTGCCAGCTAGAAAGGTGCCCATACTATGAGACCGTCGCAACGAGACTGGACCTAAATGTGGTGCGACTGTTTGCGTATGTCATTGACCCATTGAGCTGTACTGGGTGTTGCCTCCGGGCACCTTGAGAGCTACTCTTACCAGGTTGGTCAATGGTGAGAGGTCAGACAAACTCAGTCTCCTGGTCCTCCAGGCTGGGGGTTTGAAATGGGATGGCGTCCATTTCTGTAAAACTAAATCACTGCCACCCCGCTGCCTTGCGGACAGGCTTTTGAGCCAAAGGCTTTGGATGAGGGCTCCAATCGTCCTCCTGTCTAGGTCTGGGCGCCCTGGCAGTATCTCAGTCCACATACAACCATGACATTTTCTTTTAAACATAAACTTCATCCTGCATCGGCCGTCGCGCAGACTATCAAGGGTCGCCTTATCTGCTGCATACAGCAGGGCGGATAAACGAAAACATGCTACTGCTGGCGCCTCCCTTCTTTCTTTTCCACCTTCTTCTCTTACTCCCATCCCGAACCCCATTACTAACCTTCCTTCTATAATTCCCAGCTTAATTGACAGCAACCGAAGAGCCACTGGAGTAGAACCAACTGCAGCCACCATCCCATCGCACCTATCGGACGTCTATCGGAAAAAGTCCCTTATAAGGCCACGCTGTCCCGTTTCCATGGCGACATTCAACGTTCGAACTCTAAGAAAAACAGGTCAACAGGCTGCACTCGCACGCACCTTGGACACACTGGGTATTGATCTGTGCTGTGTGTCCGAAATTAGGATCAATGACTCTAACAGAGTTATTGAATTAACTGCACCCGGCTTATCCTCCTGTTATTGGTTGCACACATCCGGAGACGCCGATGCAGTACTCACGGGTCAAGCTGGTGTAGGTATCATTCTCAGCTCCAAAACTGTGCCAACGTTGGTTGATTGGATTCCGGTGAACAGCCGTTTATGTGCAGCCCGTTTGACGACATCAGCTAAGGTGAATTCGCGAAGTAGTACAAAACGCTGTTTGTTTGTGATTTCCGTTTATGCTCCCACCGACTGCAGTTCTAATGCAGTCAAGGACACTTTCTATCACGAAATGAACGCCCTCCTACGCAGTGCTACTAGTTCAGATATTATAGTACTTGCAGGGGGATATGAACGCACAAGTAGGGCGTCTGAGCTCTTCAGAAGCTCAGCTGGGTGGTAATTATGGACTTAACTCCGAACGGACTGACAACGGCGAGCGTCTGCTACAACTGTGTGCGGAGCACCAGTTGTTTCTTACTAGCACTGCTTTTAGACACAGTGGGCGCCGAAGTGCCACTTGGCGTCCACCTGTAGCTGGCCAGCGATGGGCCCAAATTGACCACATAACCATAAGTTACAGATGGCGCGGTTCCATTCTGGATTGCCTCTCGTACTGGAGTACCTGTGTTGACTCTGATCATGCCTTGGTGCGCTGTCGTTTCTCCATGAACTTTACCGGAAGGCGCACAAAGCGTCCCCTACGATTGGCAACGGAGAAATTGTCCCAGCCCTCGGTCAGGCAAGCCTATCAAGACACACTGCATACCGAACTTCCGCTGTCTTTTCCTAATGACACTGAACTTCAGTGGAATAGGATCTCGGTTGCCATGCACGACGCAGGAGCATCTGCTTGTGGCACTATCCATTGTCACCGCACCAGTCACTGGATATCCGAGAGGTCCGTGAACCTGTTGGAAGCTAGAATACACCTCCCGGCTGGTTCTGAACACAATGTGACCAGACAGGCTATTAGGCGTGAAATAAAGCGGAGCCTACGTGCTGACAAGGAAGCCTGGTGGACCAGTCCGGCTCAAGAAATGGAGGAGGCAGGAGCAGTAGGCAATTACCGGAAGCTCTTCCAGCTAATCCGCACCACTGGTCCCAGAAAACCAGGCGTCAGTGAGACAATCAGAGACAGCGCTGGTGCGCTGATACTCAATAAGGAGCGCCGTATGGCTCGTTGGGCTGAACACTTTGAAGATCAGTTCAGCTGGCCCCCGGATCCCGGACCTCTTCCTACTCAGGTGATGCAGGACGTGCAATAGACGGTTAGTTTATAGCCTGGGTCGGAGGCCGAAGTCCGAAACGCGATCGCAGCCCTGAATCTTTTTCTTGCCACTGGCCCGGATTCCCTCCCACCTGCACTATTTAAGGATGGATGTGAGGTCCTCTGCAGGGCACTGACCCTATTCGAACGTATCTGGAACGAAGAGAGTGTCCCGGCTAATTGGAGCGAATCGATTATAGTGGTAATTTACAAGAAGGGCAGTCGCGACAGGTGCTAGTGCAGCGCCACGCATACCGCAGACCGACAATAGCTGTGTTCCTCGATTTCAAGAGTGCGTTCGATTCGGTCGATCGATCGATTCTGTTCGAAATACTTGCACGGAAAGGTGTTCCCACGAAATATGTGAACATACTTCGTGCTCTATACCGAACACTACAGGCCGCGTCAGGGTCTATGGTGTCCTACCGCATAGCTTTTTGACTACAAGTGGCGTTCGTCAGGATTGTCCGATTTCCCCGTTTTTGTTCAATTTCGTCGTGGATTCTATCATGGAGTGTTCCCTTGCGGAATCTCACGATGTAGTCTTTGAAGTGCTGCCTGGTGAAAGGTTAGTTGATCTAGATTATGCGGACGATATCGTCTTACTATTCGACAATGTTGTGGCGGCACAATCAACCCTGAATAGCCTCTCTGTAGTGGTACCATTATTTGGTATGCACTTCGCACCTTCAAAGTGCAAAGTTTTGCTGCAGAACCACCAGCCACTTGATGACCCCTTGACGCTTGCTAATGAGGAA